TATTCTAAATACCACCTTTTTAAACGGTAACTGTAACGGAATACAGTTACTCATATTTTGTATTTTAAATACGTAACGGCGGTGCATGTATTCCGTTACTCCCCAACACTGGTCTTGAGTACCTGTAAATGTGTTGGTCATGTCCATCTACCCCTGCTCTTTACAATGATCATTGATGATGATATGGTGCCTGTAACATCCTTCAGCATTACCAGAATGGTGGTGGGTTAGTGAAGGTCTGGGGAGGAATATCCATGAGCACAGACCTTTACAGGCTAGACAGTGGCCCCCTGACCCTTGGGAATTGAGATGAAATTCTTGGACTCACTGTTAGACCCTGCACTAGTGCACGGTGGTGTGTGACAGTGGTGAGAGTAAGGAGACACTTCCCGGAGGATGAAGGAATTGATACCATTGATTGCCCACCACCCCTTCACACACACACACACACACACACACATACACACACATAGACATACAAACACACGCAGACACAATTGCCTGACCTAAATCCAATAGAACACCTCTAGGACATTATTTTTAGAACACAAGCAGTTTGCGGGGGGTGGGGGGTGGCTATACAAATATACAGTTTTGAGTTGATGCAATGAAATTTTGGCAAAAGAGACTAATCTGCTGCTTTATGTTTCTTCACTTTGATTTTTGGGGTGTTTCTGAATTCATCCCTCTGTATGTTGGTCATATTCTCATTCCCATCAAACATCCTTTTGTTCATAACATATTACCCAGTCCCTTATGAGTATAGATCTCCAGCATGATTTTTTTCCCATTAAGATCTGATGTCTTTTTAAGAGGTGTACATTTTCCATTTTTCCTGGAGGGGAGGGATGGGAACATTATTATGACAAATAGAGACAAGAGATAAGAAAAAAACATTGAGGTCATCAGAGCTCACTCTGGAGCTCACAGACGTAATGACATGCTGCACTCTCCTCTGCTGTGATAAGGCAGCTCATGTCTTATCTGTAGATGAGCCCTATAGCATCCTACGCTCTGTTCCTCTCTTATGTAAATGAGGGATGCAGTTAGATGCAAACTAGAAGATTAGACATCGTCAGTTTGATCAGAAGAATTTGGTCAAGTAGAGCAAATTTGACACAACACTCTCACACCCTCAGTTTCATCACCACAGCAAGATCTAAGAAAAACTTTGAAGGTTCATAGAGAGAAACACCCCCGCATAGCAAGCAGGTCTGGCCCGGATCTGCTATCAAGCCGGCACTGCTGGCTGACTTCTGGCACGATAAGACGTATGACATCCAGATATGGGCCAGGTCTGGCATAGATGCCACTGTCCATGCGATGACATGGCATATCTGGCCAGATTGTGGTTTGGTTTATGTGGCCCAGGTACATAGAAAACATGTCTGGCCCGGATCTAGCATCAAGCTGGCACTTCTGACTGACTGGTGTCATGGCAGGGTGTATGTCAACCAGATGTGGGCCAGGTCTGGCAATGATGGCACTATTTATGTTCCTATTTTCCTATTTTAGTTAGAAGACCCAAATGCCATGTTACAATACTATACTGCTATGGTAACCAACGTTTCAAATGCAGGTTTGACAGGTTTGTGAGTGTACACTTTATCCAAAACCTAGTGAGGGTTTACTCAAGTTTACCACTAAGTGGCTGTGGCTCAGGAGGTAGAGCAGGTCACCTGCTGATCAGAAGGTTAGTGGTGTGATCCCTGGCTCCACCTGTCTGCATGTCAAGTATGAATGTAATCAGGAAGCACTCAGTTTAGAGAAAGTGTGTGATTGGGGGAATGTGGCATATTGTATTGAGTAATCTGGGAGAGTACAAAAGCCCCATGCAAGAATCAGTTAATTCTCTGTCTGAGCAGAGTTTTGTCATCTTACTTTTGCACTATTAT